GTATTACGTGAGGAATAAATAGCATTTGCGTTTCTCATGTCGGTGAAAATGAAGATGTCTGTCTTTTGGGTTGTAGCACCACGTAGTCTGTTGGAAGTTTACCAACGTTGCACGGGACTTTTCGCCCTGCTGATGGAAGCAGCAAAGGTCTCTGAAACTCTGATGAACTTCTACTAGTCTACATGGCGTTACAACCAAAAAGACAAAAAATTTTGTTATAGGGAAGGACTTTTATTGCAAATGCTTCAATACAGAGTGTTCAGAAACGTATTTATACGTAAAAGAGATGCAGTAAGTGAGGACACGCACTTCCGGTTGGAGCAAAGAAATGCATCGAAATCTTGATGGAACATCTCCTTTGAAACTGGTAACTTCGTAGACGGCAAAGAAAGAGGGATGATGTCACTGGGATAGATCTTAAGAGGAAAATTGTGATGGTAGATGCCGGGATTACGTATAATGGCAGGCTGTGATACAGCAGTGTTGGTATTTCTCTTACCAGCGTGTTAATTAAGTCCATGGAGAAGTGTTTTTTCTTGAGGAGCTAAGACCTGCTCAGTGAGCCTTGCGAACGTTTCATAACCTGCTAACTTTTTGGGCGAGGACTTTTGCCTCCTACCTATTCTACAGATCGAGCAACGAACACCACATGATGGCTGCTCGCGATTGCTTATTCAATCCTCCACGTCGAGACGTAGTTTCCTCCGTTCGCAGCCTAAGAACGCGCCGTGCCTCTGTGACAAGGAAAACACTTTGTGTGGAGTTATTCAAAACCCAGGTTTTGTCAGCGGTAAGGCATGTGACGTATGCTGGAAAGGTTTCAGCTTTAAATCCAGAATGTAAATCCTACTAGGCTGACAGGGACTTTTTGGTGTTTCTATAATTCATTCTGGTGCATGTCAGACAGCTTTCTTCTAGCTCACTACCGTGAACCTTCAAATCCCTCTCGAAGCTACATAACCTCTTCAGTTGATAGAACAGAATTAAATAGTACGCAATTTTATTAATTATTAGAAAAGAAAATTCGCGACAATCATTTTTATGCCATCGAGTAATTCCAGGTACAGTTCTGGAAGTGCCGTGGAATTTTCCCACAAATTAAGAGCCGGGGCAGACCAGTCAGTATAGTGACTACGCCCTGGGATGGACGTCCGAGGTTCGATTTCTCGGAGGGTAGGATTTTTCTGTTTTTTAAGACGTACAGACCCGCTCTGGGGCTCAACCAGTCTCCTATCCAATGGACATAGGGTTCCGATCTATCGAAATAAAGCTGCCGAAACGTGAAGCTGATTATTCTCATACATCTAATACTGAGTTTAAGAATCTGTGGAGTGAAACCTCCACTTTACCATATGCATACATGGAGTGTTGCTTAATGAAGCGTCAGGGACAAATTTGACTTTGCCGAACCATAGAATCGTGTGGGTCTTATTGAGATGGTGTTAAGGTCGATATTTGTAACTTTGTTAACGCTGACTTTGGAACAGGGAAGGATTGTTATTTTTACCGGGTGGTGACTGGACGTGACTACATATGTGAGTTTTCTTCTGCGTTTACTCGTAGAATTTAGTAAGACTAAGAAGTAAGTTAAGGAGATACTTACTTCTCCAGGTCATTGGCACGTATGATCGACTGTCCTAGTCTGGCGAGCATTTCCAGAACATACTCTGAGTCCGGCTCTGAGTCCTGGTCCGATATGAAGTTGTTCCTGTGGCTACAACAAGAAACAACAGAAGAACCTGTAAGTTATTTCAATGAAATTTAGACGTGACGTAAACATTTCCATCGCTAGTGCTTACCGTATCCTACTTTTCCAGTCGGAGAGATCTAATTTCTTTATATTACACGTCTATTTGCATGACTGACACGTGTCTGTGGTGTTTCGTTGCGTCGGCTCAGATTCATAAGAAACCCGATCTTGTTGACTGATCATATTCTCTCCCGCTTATTTAATCAAATAATTCTGTCTTACCTGAGGGGTTTCTCTTGTGACGGAAGGAACAGGTGTTCCAACAACCTCTTGGTTTTGCTCTCCTGAGAGTCTTTCGAAGTGCAAATGAGATTTAGATTTGTGTATAATAAACGCGTATTTCTGTGTTCTAAGTTCCTGAACTTTATTTTTGGTTCCATAAGACAGAGTCGGTGTTCAATTGTTTAGTGTGCGGTGTTGTTTCAGTTGTGTTCGGATAAATGTTTCACTTGTCTGGGTGTCGAACTTCAGCCCTCATCCAAGTAAAATCTACAGATTGAGGATGCTAAGGAGAATATTTGTACATGAGAGAGAGGGAGAGATGAAGCCACAGGCGGACGCGGACGAAGATAATTATAATAAAGGTAATGAAATTAGGGACTTGATTTGATATTATTGCATACGATATCGTATAGAAATATTCGTTATGGATATAAATTTACCGTATCGATATATCGCTTGATGCTTTTGATATAAATGGTGAGATAAGGCGTTAATAAGAATGAATTTGGTACAGGATAATGAATAAATTATTTACTACTGTCGCTACAGCTACTAAAACTATACAGATAATAATAATAATAATAATAATACAGGATATATATTCATTAATTTATTTTTACAACAATTTGAAATACAAAGAACGGAAAATATTCAAAACCGATAAAATATTTGATGTTGATATGGCATCGTCAGATATTTGTATGAAATATAACATCGATTGACATCCCTAAATGAAAGTAAAGAGCATAAGATGGACGATACATGTAGCATTTATAGGAGAGATGAGGAATGGTAACAGTCTGGATTAATCTGGATCAGGACATAGTCCACTGGCGTAGTTTTGTGATCATTGCAATGAACCTTCAGGTTTTATCAAGGCTGAGGAGATTCTTCGCCATGACCTTCTAGAAAGTACCTCAGCGACGTTTCATCTTACTGGAATCTTTCAGATGACAATCTCACATTATCTTACGATGCCAACTAGACTACAATTTGAGGCTTTTCCTCGGCGAATGTAGACTTAATCTTGAGAAAGTAGAATAAATTATATGTAATAGAACGAAATTTTAATATAAAAATATGTGGATAATGTGAGCAATTTCACATTTTATCCCTGAATCTTTAAATTCAGTAATAAAACGCTCTTATTTCAAAAGGAATTTCATTTACAGATTTTATGAACAAATAATTATACTTTTAAGGATGAATGTTCCATTGAGAGAAAGAGCGTTATAAAGATCAAAGAACAGAAATATTGCTAGATTGCAGGGTACTATATGAACTTTAATGAATATTAGAGGCAATAGCAGTGCACTCCAGTGGTAGCCAATTAACGTACAATGAATAAAGTTTAAAGTTTTCCTTCTAATACACAGAATCTCAGCACCTGGTTAGGGAAACTAATGTTATTTAAAGTTTAGAACTCAGTGATTTCGAAGTATAAATGTTTGTTAATACAGTTTCATACAAATTTTAATAATACGGAACAGTTTCGGAATGAAGTTTAAGGCACGATTTTTTTAACAAACTTAATAAAGCGATTGAAATCGTACTGTAGAAATTTGTGTTTCATTTAATTATTAAACTCACAATAACACTTCGTTGTAAATGAGACTTTTTTTTACTATAGATGATTTTGAAAAACTTCTAAATAACTTTTCCCTGCTTTCAGCTTTATGTGCATGAAAATGGTTTAACTGGATATTTTGCTTGAGTCTAACACATTCAACTACTTCTGGCTGTGTGACTTTGCGTAGTTAAAATCAAAACACTTATATTTGCTCGGCTTGATGATGCTCATTTAATAGACAGTTAACGAGATCTTACCGCTAAGATGCCCTACATTATCCTCTGAATGGAACCGCATTTTACCACTTCAAAACTCAGATTATATATTTTTTCAATCTGTTTACATTTAGAATCCAAGTTTCTTCTGTATACAGCAATTTGTTTTGAAACTTACAGATCTGAATTCCGGAATTATTTTACATGAAACTCGGTTTACTCCTCTGACAGAGGGCTGTCGTGTCAGTCTGCACAGACGAGCACTGGAGCATCTGTTATTGTGGTGCTGCAGCATTTGTTGTTGTTATCTTACCTTGACAGTGGAGCGCTTTCTACGGCATTAACGACGCTGATCATGAGGACAGCCCCAACCAGCAGCGCACTTGTCAACAGGACTACGCAGGAGTTCATGGCTGTGAGGTCGATAGGCGCCTGCAACACAAGACAGCGCAGCATGCAACTTCTGTTCTCACGGCGACGTGTACAACAACAACAACAACATCAACAACAATAATAATAATAATATGATCGTGTGTGCACTCAGTTACATTTTAACATAAGCAGGAAAGCTGGGGTACAGCTAGAAAAGAATCACTGGTATGAACACATCCCGAAGACAATGGAGACAAGTCAAGATAGCCAAATAACTATTTTGTGGAACCAACAAGTCAGAACAGATAGAACCATCACAAATAATAAACCAGATATTATAATCAGAAACAAAAACGGAACTTGCCTCTTAATTGACATAGGAATACCGACTGACAGGAATGTGATTAAGAAGGGAGCAGAGAAGATCTTGAAATACAAGGACTTCCTCATTGAAATACAGAGAATGTGGAAAGTGCAAGCAAAAGTAATGTTAATAATTATAGGAGCAACAGGAACTGTCTCCAGGTCACTCAGAAAATATTTGGCTAACATCCCGGGCGAACACTACTTGGAAACGTAAGCTTAAATAGGAAGATAATATTAAAATGGATATAAGAGAAATTGGATGTTACGGTGTAGGCTGGATTCATCTGGTTCAGGACTGGTTTTGTTGCGGTTTGTCGTGAACACAGTATCGAAACTTCGGGTTCCATAAAAGGTGGAATTGCTTGAGTACCTGGGCGACTGTTGGATTCCCAAGAAGGACATAACTCCATGCGGATAGTTAGTTGGTTACCCGTCTAGGAATATAAATATCGTCACATTACTGCGCCAAGCATATCGTGCTACATTGCCATATATCGCCAGCTTCCCAAATCTAAAATGTATGTATCATTCACATGCAACTTTATTCATTAAGCCAGTAGCGTGTCAACGTGTGACGTAATGTGTGAAGAAACTTTCTAATTTTAGCACAGGATTTACACTTTGGAGTGGATACAGGGATTTTCCATTTCCAATTCACAGTTACGTCCCGAGACCATATCATTTACTGTGCCATTATAAATGGAATAAAAAATAAAAATATTTAAGCGTATGACGAGATGTTTCAGTTTTAAGATAGGTAGGTACCCGAATAAATACTACACTTACAAATCAGTTGAACAAATCGATTCATTTCCACACTGTGAGGTATTGTTATGAATAGGCCTACAAATGCGAAAGAATCATGGACAAAGAGAACCAGTGGAGCTGTGTGTTCGGAGTCTGTATGTTTGTGCTACCTATGGTGGAAGTAGGGCCTTAAATGCCGTATCGATTCACCGCACTACGGACAGTTGGAGTGGTGAAAACTTGAAACCCAATAAAATGACAGAAAGGGCAGCGAAATTTTGATTGACTGCAACAGCGTTAGGAATTATATTTTCGTCACATGCCAGAAAGTTCCTGACAGGTTTTATCATGAAAAGTATGCAGTTTTTGTGAAGACAGTCGTACACGTAACATGATGGCGGTCGGCGCAGTAAAATTACAGAGTTACATTTATTTTCCAGTTTGATAACGATGGATGTAGGTATTTTATTACGAGAACAATTAAATAAGCACAAATCATCTAGGTCTCCTATACGCCACCTAAGAGACATATGCGTAGATGTTATGATAATTTTAAAATGGATCTAGAAGAAATTGATTGTGAATATTTGAAATGGATTAAATTAAATCAGGATGGGAACAGGCATATGAACTTTAGGGTTCTACACAAACAGGGAACATTGGAAGTTTAATAACTGCCAACTGCTCAGTGAAGACCCTATAACAAATAGTTAAGAAGATATACAATGGTTATGTTTTATCGGATGCTGGATGGTTTTCCCAAAGTGACCTCGGGCCGAAGATCCCCACTGGAAAGGTTTTGTAGTTACGAATCTTTTTAAGCAGCTAAAATTATTTGTTTTGACTGAAAATATATGTAGATGCACATAGGTCTATATATCTGTATTATTAATAATTTATTCAGACATTATATTCTAAGCTCTGATTGGTATTGTGAAGACGTTAACATTAACGTACATTAACCTGAGTCTGGAACGGGTCCAACTTCACGTCCTCATATTCAGTTGTAGGTGCAATGAAAAGTCTTAGTAGGGAATGCAAAATTTGAAATTCCGTTAAAAGCAGACTTTCTGTACTCTTTATTTTTGGATATTAGACTAAATTTATTATACACTGAATTAAGGCAATTAGAAGCTAATTATTGACCATATTATTAATAGTATTTTCCCCAGGCGGAAGATTTAGAGTTACTTAATATATGCACCTCTGTACTTTGGTATATAAATTTGATACATTGAGAGGTTTTAAACATCGACAAATAAGATGCGTGAACAATCTGTAAAAGAAGGTAAATGTGAAATCTTTTCCGTCTAAATAGAATATTACGCGCAGTCATCACAACGAGGATACTGTAAATGAGTTTCTGAAAATTTATGGCCAAATTTTATGATAAAACCATAATAAGGTATTATATTTGTAAGTAAGGCGTTGAGATGCCGCGCTTAACAAGTTCCGAGTTTAAAATGCAAGTACTACTACAGAATTTACATAAGAAGGAAGAAAATTAAACTAAAGATAGGTCCCGTATTCTGATTTACATGCTTGTGATGACTTACTGCACTGGTAATAGAGTCATCAGGCATCTCTGAAACGTGGGTAAGCTTCTACCAGACTACACGTCCCAACAACGCAGAAGACAGCCGCCTAGTTGGTTTTATGTGCATGGAGGAAATTTAAAGAAAGTTTAAGTTGGAGGATGCATAACAATGAGTTATATGAAAATCACGTCTTATAACGCACTCCAGCGGAGGCTACTGAAGATACGTACGAAATTAGAAGTTTATATATTTTACAAAACTAATAATGCAAAGTGTACAAAACAAAATAAAAATAAAAACGTCTGTTTTCTCTGAGTTTTTTCCCGTCCACATTGTATTCTCAATTTTATGGTACAGAAAGTAAAGCTTCTTATGAAAATATTTTTTTTTGCATCCTGGATTGAAATGCACGCCAGTGAAGTTTGTTCCATAAGATTGTACTGGTAACTTGCATGATTACATAAATATACATTTTCGTTATCATTGGATAAACGAAACAGTCTTCGTTGTTCCATTCATAGGTCGTTAAAAATTTAAAATTTTCTGTGTTACATTACTTTGCTAATATGAAATGTTCTGGTGTGCTATTAATTGCAAAAATGGACATGTTGTTAGCAGCAAAAAATAACAATCTATTTGACTATATTTAATTGCATTAAAAGTGAAAATTCTCACAAAGAGATACATTGTAATTCATATGAAACTCTTGAATTTGTAGGTGTTTCGAGAGCTTCAGTTTGTGTAGAAGCAATGAAGCATAAATTTTGTAAATAAGTTGTGTATTCCCATTTCTTTACGCAAAACGTAAACAGGCTGACTGTAATACTAGAGAGGGCAATTTTAAAACGAATTTTCGTATTTCCTGTGCGCTTAGCATGTTTCTGTACTGTATTTTCACAGTATAAATTATTCATACGTAGGAAACATTGCTACTCTAGTTATAAGGGCAGTGCTCTAATATTAACTTGTTCTAGGCTACGGAATATTTCAGTGGCGATTACTTCTGTTTAAGACTAAAATTTAATGGTGTACAACAGTCAAATTTCGGCGAGCTCTGTTGCAATGCATTGTAGAATATTAAACTACATTTTGAAGGGGACTGTACACTCGGACGTAAAACTTGATTGGTTCGGTGGTTTCAATATCTTGTACTAATTAATGGTAGGCGGACGAGAAACGCTCTAACACGTGCGGGTCCACTAAAGTGGAAATGGCAGGTCCAACCTACCTCAACCCAGAGCACTAACGACATGTAAATGAGTTCAGTTGCTTTGCAGCCACAGTACGTTTCTTCGCTCGTAATTTACACAGAACATAAGTTAAGTAACTGTTCTTCTCCCACTTTATATTACAATAAACTGTAAGCATACTGAAATAATTAAAATTCTTGTTTATAGTATTAATAATAATAATAATATTTATTATTGTACATATTTAATTAACTCTTATCTAATGTAAATGTTGGTCTTCTAAGCTGTAGATATGTATGTTCTGGGAAAACATACTGTGTCTGTTTTCAGCCCTGGAGATGAAGGCAGCATGTTCTGAACGTTCATTTATCCCTACCTACCTATCTCTTTAAAATACAGAGAGAAAAATGCGTTGCTTGTGACTGAACTGGTATGAAATTGCTATTCTGTTAGCAGCAAATAAAATCTATATAGCATACATTAAACGTGAATAAAAGCGCACTTAATTAGCAACTTTCGTCTGAGTTATTAATGCACTAAAATTCTCCACAGCTGTGTAATCTAAAAAAATACAAAAATGGGAATTACAATTCATGTAAAATCATAATAATTCTCCGGTGAATTTCAAACACCGGCGTAGCATTGGAATTTACTGATTCAGGACTCAGTACAATGGCGAGATTTCGTATTAGCTATGTCTATTTCCGGTTTCTTCCCATTCCATATCTTTCCCAATTTGTTGTTCATAATTGCCCTGTCATGCAATGCTATATGACGTACGCACCTAATAAAGCGCCATTAAATTAATTGTACACGTCGCATACCGGGGAGAGATAAAGTATATTTCTATTAACCAACTGGCCTACATATTTGATGAAACAACACGCATATTTTTTCTGCGACTAGCTCCACCTGGGATTGTCGCTTGACCTTGGTACAATGCTCTCGAGCGCCAACCCTTGGAAACACATAGACAGTAGACGAACGTGAAGCGCAACATCGGCGTGGGTTTGCAAGTTCTGCAGTGTAAGAATTATTTAACATTTTGTAACAGTAATAGTAACACTTTAATGGTAGTAGTAGTAGTAGTAGTAGTAGTAGTAGTAGAAGAAGTAATGGTAGTTTGTTTATTGTATATTCCAGTAATCTTCTTGTATCCTGAAGTAGTATGCTAAGCGTTGTGTAAATAGAATAGAACTAGATATGTGGCGCAATGATC